CTCAAATGGCATTTCAATTTTAGTCTTTTGAGGAACCTCCATACTGCTTTCCACAATGGTTGAACTAGTTTGCATTCCCACCAGCAGTGTAGGAGGGTTCCCCTTTCTCCACGTCCTCTGCCAGCATTTGTTGTTCTTAGACTTTTCGATGCTGGCCATCCTTACTGGTGTGAGGTGATATCTCATTGTGGTTTTAACTTGCATTGCCCTGACAATTAGTGATGTGGAGCATTTTTTTCATGTGCCTGTTGGCCATCTGAATTTATTCTTTGGAGAATTGTCTATTCATATCCTCCATCCATTTTTTTAATTGGGTTATTTGCTTTTTGGTTGTTGAGGAATGCAAATTCCTTTATATATTTTGGATGTCAACACCTTGTCAGATATGGCGTTTACAAATATATTTTCCAATACATAAGGCTGCCTTTTAGTTCTGCTGATGGTGTCCTTCACTGTTCAGAAGATTTTTAGTTTTATGTAGTCCCTTTTGTTCATTTTTGCTTTTGTTTCCCTTGCTTGAAGAGATGTATTCAGGAAAAAGTTGCTCATGTTTCCATTCAGGAGATTTTTGCTTATGTTGTCTTTTAAGAGTTTATGGTTTCATAAATTACATTCAGATCTTTGATCCATTTCAAGTTTACTTTTGTATATGGGGTTAGACAACAATCCACTTTCATTCACTTACATGTAGCTGTCCAGTTTTGCCAATACCAGGTGTTGAAGATGCTGTCATTTCCCCATTGTATGTCCATGGCTCCTTTATTGTATATTAATTGACCATACATGCTTGGGTTTATATCTGGGCTCGCTATTCTGTTCCATTGGTCTATGGGTCTGTTCTTGTACCAGTAACAAATTGTCTTGATTACTGTGGCTTTGTAGTAGAGCTTAAAGATGAGGAACATAATCCCCCAGCTTTATTCTTCCTTCTCTGGGTTGCATTGGCTATTCGGGGTCTTTTGTGAGTCCTTATAAATTTTAGAACTATTTGCTCTAGTTCATTGAAGAACTCTGTTGGTATTTTGAAAGAGAGTGCATTGAGTCTGTAGATTGCTTTAGGCAGGATGGCCATTTTGACAATATTCTTCATATCCATGAGCACAAGATGTATTTCCATTTAATGGTGTCTTCTTTAATTTCTCTCATAAGTGTTTTGTAGTTTTCAGAGTATAGGTTTTTCACTTGGTTAGGTTTATTCCTAGGTATTTTATTCTTTTTGATGTAATTGGAAATAAAATTGTTTTCCTGATTTCCTTTCTGCTAGTTCATCATTAGTGTACAGGAATGCAACAGATTTCTGTGTATTAATTTTGTATCTTGCAACTTTGCTGAATTCAAATATAAGATCTAGTAGTTTTGGAGTGGATTCTTTAGGGATTTTTATGTACAATATCATGTCATCTGCAAACAGTGACAGTTTAACTTCTTTACTAATCTGGATGCCTTTTATTTCTTTCTGTTGTCTGATTGCTGTGACAAGGATCTCCAGGACTCTGTTGAATAAAAGTGCAGAGAGTGGGCATACCTGTCTTGTTCTTGATCTTAAAGGAAAAGCTTTCAGCTTCTCGCTGTTATGTATGATGTTGGCTGTGTGTTTGTGATATATGGCCTTTATTATGTTGAGGTACTTGCCCTCTATACCCATTTTGTTGAGAGTTTCTATCATGAATGGATGTTGAATTTTGTTGAATGCTTTTTTGGCTCCTATGGAGATGTTCATGCAGTTTTTGTCCTTTTTGCTGATGTGGTGGAAGATGTTGATGGATTTTTTAATGTATTACCATCCTTGTATCCTTGGAATAAATCCTACTTGATCATGATGGAAGATCTTTTCTTTTTGATATATTTGTAATTCGGTTTGCTAATATTTTGTTGAGTATTTTTGCATCTATGTTCATCAGGGATATTGGTCTTTAATTTTCTTTTATTGTGTTGTTTTTGCCTGGTTTTCATATTAGAGAATGAGATTGGAAGTATTCCCTCCTCTTCTACTTTTTGGAAAACTTTAAGGAGGTTAGGTATTATGTCTTTACTAAATGCTTGATAAAATTCAGCAGTGAAGTCATCTGGTCCAGGGGTTTTCCTCTTAGATAATTTTTTGAATATCAATTCAATTTTGTTACTGGCAATTGGTCTGTTCAGATTTTCTGTTTCTTTCTTAGTCAGCCTTGGAATGTTGTATTTTTTGAGAAAGTTGTCCATTTCTTCTAGGTTATCCAGTTTGTTTGCATATAATTTTTCATAATATTCCCTAATAACTCTTTATATTTCTGTGGTGTCTGTAGTGATTTTTCATTTCTCATTTCTAACTCTGGTTATGTATGTAGACTCTCGTTTTTTTCTTAATATCTCTGGCTAGGGATTTATCTATTTTATTTATTTTTTCAGAGAACCAGCTCCCACATTCATTAATTCTTTCTATTGTTTTAATTGTGTTGATTTTATTTATTTCTGCTCTCATATTTATTATGTCCCTCCTCTTACTGAGTTTGGGCCTCATTTGTTCTTCTTTTCTTGTTTCATTAATTGTGAGTTTAGACTATTCATTTGTGATTGTTCTTCTTTCCTGAGGTAGGCCTGTATTGCAATATACTTCCCTCTTAGCACGGCCTTTGCTGCTTCCCACAGATTTTGTGATGTTGTATTATTGTTGTCATATCTCTCCATATATTGCTTGGTCTCTGTTTTTATTTGATCACTGATCCTTTCATTATTTAGGAGTGTGTCATTAAGCCTCCATGTTTTTGGGCGATTTTTAGTTTTCTTTGTGTAATTATTTCTAGTTTTATACTTTTGTGTCTGAGAAGCTGGTTGGTACAATTTCAATCTTTTTGAAGTTTTTGGCTCTTTTTGTGGCTAGTATGTGATCTATTTTTGAAAATGTTCCATGTGCAATTGAGAAGAATGTGTATCCTGTTGCTTTTGGGTGGAGGGTTCTGTAGATGTCTGTTAGGTCCATTTGTTCTAATGTGTTGTTCAGTGCCTCTGTCTCCTTACTTATTTTATGTCTGGTTGATCTGTTCTTTGGAGTGAGTACTGTGTTGAAGTCTCCTAAAATGAATGCATTGCATTCTATTTCCCCCTTCAATTTTGTTAGTATTTGTTTTACATATGTAGGTGCTCCTGTGTTGGGAGCATAGATATTTATAACAGTTATATCCTCTTGCTGGACTGACCCCTTTATCATTATGTAATGTCCTTCTGTGTCTCTTGTGACTTTCTTTGTTTTGAAGTCTATTTTGTCTGACACAAGTACTGCAACTCCAGCTTTTCTCTCCCTATTAGTTCCATGAAATACCTTTTTCCATCCCTTCACTTTCAGTCTGTGTATGTCTTTGGGTTTGAAGTGAATCTCTTGTAGGCAGCATAAAGACAGGTCTTGTTTTTTTTTTTTTTTATCAATTCATCGACTCTATGTGTTTTGACTGGTGCATTCAGATGATTTACATTCAGGGTGATTATCAATAGGTATGTACTTATTGTCATTGCAGGCTTTAGATTCATGGTTACAAAAGGCTCAAGAGTAACTTCCTTACTATTTGACAGTCTAATTTAACTCACTTAGAACCAAGGAGCTGAGCACACAGGTGTAAGCCTCTATGCTTTGCATTTGTAGCCACCATAGGTGGGACTTCTGTCAGGCTGTCCTGATGCCATGGTAGGGGCTGCCGGTATGCAAGCCGGTGTGGTCTTGCTTGGAGGAAGGCACAGCAGACTGCATATTTTGTTTGGCACCTTGGAGCTGTGTATCCAGCCAGGAGGATGGAGCGCTTGAAGATCATAATAGTTCCCAACCTGCTGGGCAGAGTGCACCAGGACAATTTTGTCCCCCTATCCTTTCTCCTGAGCAGTAAACTCTGTGTAATCCCTGCTTCTCACTTTTAGGAAGTCTCTCAGACTTCCACCTTTCTTTTGTCCCAGAGCAGCTGGATGTGGATGTGCTTTCCTCAAGTAGCTAGAGTCTCAGTCTCTCCAGGTATTCTGCCTGTCTTAGCTTTCCAAGCTCACTAATCTCCAGAGCAACATGGAATGCAGATCCATGCTGCCAGAGCAGATCTCTGGGGCTGGGTGTTCAGCAGTCTTAGACCTTCCCTACCCACTCTGTTTCTCTTCCTCCCACCAGTGAGCTGGGGTGGGAGAAGGGCTTGGGTCCCACTGGAACATGACTTTGGTATGTTACCCTGTTCTGTGATGTCTGTTCTTTTCTCCAGGTATATGCAGGCTAGTTCATCCTTCTTTCCTGTTGCCCTTTCAATATTAGTTGTATTAATTATATTTGTGTATTGTATGTGTATTGTATGTGGTTTTTGGAGGAGGCCTCTGTCTCACCTCTCATGCCACCATCTTTTGGAACTATGGCTATTTTAACCACAATAATTCTTCCTATCCATGAGCATGGAATAAGTTTCCATACATTTGTGTCTTCAATTAATTTCATCAGCATCATAGTTTTCAGGGTATAGATTTTCACCTCCTGGATTAAATTAATTTTAATCAAGGGATTTTATTATTTTTGATATAATTGGAAATGGGACTGATTTCTTAACTTCTCTTTCAATTAGTTCGTTATTTGTGTATAGAAACACCAAATATTTCTGTATATTGATTTTTCTGAATACATTTATTAATTCTAGTAGTTTTTTGGTGGAGTCTTTAGGGTTTTCAAAATATAGGATCATGTCCTCTGCAAATAATGACAATTGTACTTTTTCCATACCAGTATGTATGCATTTTATTTATTTTTCTTATCTGATTGCTATGGATAAAACCTCCAGGGCAGTGTTGAATAAAAGTGGTGAGCATGGACATCCTTGTCTTGGTCCTGATCTTGGAAGAAAAGATTTCAGCTATTTGCCATTAAGTATCATGTTAGCTGAAACCACAGATATTTTTTAACATTTTTGGCTACAATTATTCCAAATGTTTTTCAGTAAATTTCCTAGTTTATCCATATTACATGCTCTCATTTTCTTTACATTTTGTTTGCTTTATCCTTTCAGGAAGACCAACTACACTTTCTGAGTTAATGGGGAAAGCTGATATATGGCTCATTCGAACCTATTGGGACTTTGAATATCCTCACCCAGTCTTACCCAATTTTCAGTATGTTGGAGGCCTCCACTGCAAACCTGCTAAACCTCTGCCTAAGGTATCTGATTCCTTTTTCCTTTTTTTTTTTTTTTTTTTTTTTTTGCTTTGAGGAATTTCAACAGTATTCTGGCTTAAAAGAAAAACCACTCCTCAACAATATGAAGGTGTTTCCTAACACTATTTGGAGACAAATCTAACATTTATTTTCTCTCATTCTAGTATTTAAACAATTTATCATTTGTGACCCCAGAGTCTGACATCCTACAGCATTAAAGGCATTGCTTACCCTATTGAAGCAGGTATTTTCTACTATAAACCATGTCTGGACAAAAATCTCTATAAAGATTTATCCCTTGGGGTACATGGATTTCATCATCATAGCTGACTGGTAAAATGAATACAGAGGAAATGTAACTTCATGTATAATAAGAACCATTAATTCTGAATATTATATAAACACCAAGTAATTTCTACTCCTCATATCTGTAAACCATCATAGTATAAAATTGCAGAAGATTCTGTTGGCATATAGGATGATACTCCTTAGGGAGAAAAGCAATAATCTACTATTTTGAATTGATATAGGTTTAAATCATAATTTTTTAAAAAGCATCGTTTATTAAATTATTTTATGGTCTCTTCAATATTCTGTTTGTTTGACAGCAAGAGAAAGTGAAGATCTTATTCAATGGCTAATCCAATATTGATTTTGACACAAAGTGTTTAGTTATATGTGGTAGTTTACACAATACCTAAGGCCTGAGGTAAAATTAGCAAAAGTTCTATTCAATCTAACCCTATTGGATTCTTTTTCAGATTTATTGAAGTATAATTGACATATAAAATTGTAAGATATATAATGTGTACATTCTGGTGATTTAATATACATACGCATTGTAAAGCAATACCCCTCATGTAGCTAATTAACACATCTGTCACCTCATCTGTTTATCTTTTTTGTGTGTGTGGGAACATATAAGTTCTACTGCAAACAATTTTTAATTTTTAATTATACCATAAAGTGATATCAAACTATCATCACCAGGTTATACATTATATCCTTAGACCTTATTTATATTGTAGAGGAAAGTTTATGATCCATCAATCTCTTCCTATTTCCTCTACACCCAGTTCCAAACAAACTTTTCTTCTCTCTTTTGCCATGAGTCTTTTTTTTGTGAAGACGACAAATATAAGTAATCGTAAGCAATATTTGCCTTTGTCTGGCATACTCAACTTAGCATAATGCCTTCAAGGTCCATCCATGTTGTTATCAATGCCATGATTTCTCTCTCATGGCTGAATAATATTCCTCTGTGTGTGTATATATGTGTGTGTGTGTGTGTGTGTGTGCACATGTGAATCACATCACATATTCTTAATCCATTAATCCATTTACAGATATTTAGGATGTTATTACCTATCCATTGGCTGTTTTGATGTTTCAATAAACATGAGAGTTCATATATCACTTTTATATCCTGTTTTCATTCTCTTTGGATACCCAGAACTAGGATTACTGGATAATATGATAGTTTCTATTTTAATTTTTGAGGAATCTCTATGTTGTTTTCCATAGTTGCTGCACCAATTTGCATTTCCACCAATAGTGCACTGGGATTTCCTTTTCTCTACATCCTCACCAAATTTGTTATCTCCTCTCTTTTTGATGATAGGCATTCTGACAAGTGTGAAGTGATATGTCTGGTTTTGAATTTCATTTCCCTGATGATTAGATAACGTTGCATCCCATTTCATGTACTTGCTATCCATTGTATGTCCTCTTTGGAAAATGTTTATTCAGTTCCTCTGCCTATTTTTACAACTGGATCATTTGGTGTTATTCCTATGAGTTCTGTGAGTTTTATATATATTTTGAGTATTAACTCTCTATCATATATGATTTCCAAATATTTCCTCCCTTCTGTAGGGTGTCTTTTAATTTTGTTCAAAATTTCATTTCCTATGCAGAAGGTTTTAGCTTAAGATAGTCCCACCTGTTGGTTTAGCTTTCATTGCCTGTGGTTATCCAAAAATTAATCACCAAGGCCAATATTAAGGATATTTTGCTTTCTGATAGCTCATTGTTAGTGTATAAATATTCAATGGAATTTTATGTTGATTTTGCATCCTGGAACTTTACTGAATTTGTTTTAGTTAATTCTAATAGATTTTNCCTTTCCAATTTGGGTGACTTTTATTTCTTTTTCTTGCCTTGCCTAATTGCTCTGGCTTGGGCTCCCAGTTGTAATGTTGAATAAAAGTGGTAATAGTAGCATCCTCGCCTTGTTTCTGATCTTATAAGAACAGCTTTCAGCTTCTTAACATTGATTGTGGTGTTGGGTGTGGGCTTGTCATATATGGACTTTATTATGGTGAGTTAGGTTTCCTGTAAACCCGGGTTATTCAGAGTTTTCATACTGAATGGATGTTGAATATTTTTCAAATGCTTTTTTGGTATCTATTGAGATAATCATGTGATTTTTATCCTTGATTCTATTAATGTAGTATATCACATTTGTTGATATATTTACCCTGAACCATTCCTTGCATCCCTGGAAGAAATCCCACTTAGTCAGGATGCATAATCCTTTTACCACCTCTATTTTTTAGAAAAGCTTTTGATAGGATTGGTACTAATTCTTATAATTCACCCATGAAGCTATCTGGCTCTGGCCTTTTCTTTGCTGGAAGATTTCTTTTATTACTGACTCAGTCGCGAGATTCAGTCACATGACTAGTCTATTTCCATTTCTATTTCTCTATGATACAGTGTTTGTAGGTTGTAAATTTCTAAGAATTTATCCATTTCACTAACTTGTCATATTTGTTGGTATACAGCTGCTCTCATATAGCTCTAATTCATTGTATTTGTATGGTATCAGTTGTGATATCTTATCTCTAATTTCAAATTTGATTTATTTCCTTCCTGTCCCTTTATTTCCTAGTATATCTAGGTAAAGGTTTGTCTATTTTGTTTATGTTTTCAAAATAAAAGCATTTAGTTCCAACAATATTTTCTATTGAATTTTCAGTCTCTCTGTCATTTGTGATATTATTTCCTTCCTTCTAACTTTGTGCTTGGTCTCTTTTTATAGTTCCTTGAATGTAAAGTTAGGTTATTTATTTGAGATCTTCCCTTTTTCTTATTGTAAGTGTTTATCACTGTGAACATTCCTCTTAGAATTCCCTTTGCATCCTCCCATAAATTTTGCTATGTTGTATTTTCATTTTCACTTGACCCATGATATTTCTTTATTTCCCTTTATTTTTTTACCAATCGGTTGTTCAGTAGTATGTTGTTTGGTCTCCACATATTTGCAATTTTCCAGTTTTGTTATTATAATTTATTTCTAGTTTTACTTTATTGCAATCAGAAAAGATACTTGGTATGATTCCAATATTCTTAAATTTATTAAGACTTATCTTATGAACTAACTTATAATCTATCCTTGAGAATGTTCCATGTGTGCTTGTGGAGAATAGGTATTCTGATTAGGTTAGATAGAATGTTCTGTAAATATCTATCAAGTACTTCTCCTCTAATATAGCTAAAGACTAATGCTTCCATGTTGGTTTTCTGTCTAAATGATCTATCCTTTGTTTAAAGTGGGTATTGAGTCCCTAATATGATTGTATTACTATCTATCTCTATTCAGGTCTGTTACTATTTGCTTTCTATTTAGGTGCCCCTGTGTGAGGTGTGTAAACATTTGCAAATGTAATACCTCTTGTAAGATTTATCCTTTTATCATTATATATGTGAATATCATTGTCTTTTGTGGCCATTCTCATACTAAAGAATATTTTGCTGATACAAGTATAGTTACTTCTGGTTTCTTTTTGTTTCCATTTTAATGAAATACATTTTCCCATTCCTTCACTTTGAGTCTGTCTGTGTCCTTAGCACTAAAATGAGTCTCTTCAAAGCAGCACATAGTTGAGTGCATTTTTTTATTTTTTAGTCATTCAGTCATTCTGCGTATTTTAAGTCCATTTACATTTAAAATAATTATTGATAGGTATGTCATTTTTTTCCAGTCTTCTGCTATTTTGTTATTTCTTTCCTCCTTCTATTGCTCTCTTCCTTTGTGATTTGATGATTTTCCTAGGGGTATACATAAGTTCCTTTCTCTTTGTCTTTTGTGTATATGTATCTACTATAATTTCTTGCTCTGTAAGTGCCACGAGGCTTACATAAAACATCTTGTATTTATAGTAGTTTATTTTAAGCTGATAATGACTAATTTTGAAAGGCATACTAAAACTCTGCACTTTACTCTCCTCCACACACATATTATGTTTTTGGTGTTACAATTTATATTATTTTGTTCTTGTATCCATTAAAAATTTATTGTAATTATATATATTTTTAATATTTTTGTCTTTTAATTTTCATTGTAGAGTTATAAGTGAATGCACCACCATTACATTAGAGTATTCTGAATTTAACTATTTACCTTTACCAGTGAGGTTCACACTTTCATAATTTTTCCTCTTACTAACTAACATCCTTTCATTTCAGCTTGAAGAACTACTTTTAACATTTCTTGTGAGACTGTGCTGATGAACTCCTTCAGCTTTTGCTTGTCTGGAGTCCTCTTTCTCATTCAATTAGGAAAGACAACTTTACTGGGCAGAGCATTCTTCACTAGCAATTTTTTTCTTCTAGTACTTCAAATCTATCATGCCAGTCTCATTTAGGCTGAAAAGTTTCAGCTGAAAAATTTTCTGATAGTTTTATGGTGGTTCCCTTATATATATAGCAAGTTGTTTTCTCTCCTGCTTTCAAGATTTTCTCCTTATCCTTACCTTTTGACAGAAATGTCTTGCCTGACACCTCAACCATTATGATAGCTCCAATTTATCTCACGTGTGAGTTCCAACTAAAATATGCATGGGAGGTGCTAACATGTTAGGGTGTTTATAACTGACAATAACTCTGGCATTAACATGTGATCACAAAAAATATATATTTAAGCGGTGCAGTGTGAAGCACTGTGCAGGGAATAGCACATTCTAGTGGGACATCAATTTTACAGTATGATTTCACTATAAAAAAGGTCATACATAACAAAGGTAGAAATATCATCACTCAAATATTTACCTATACACACACACACAAACATGTAAAGGTATTATTTTTTTAGGCTATCTTGTGGAAATGGAAAACTATAAAAGACTCCTTATTACTAGTAATTATTAACCTCCAGCAATTAAATGATTTAGGGGAAATGCTTGAGAAATTCTAATGAAGTATAATGTTAGAATTATAGAACTGAAAGAAAACTATATTAAGTTTTCCCAATCATAATGCTTAGTGCTTAGTCCGAGAAATAAAATACTAATGGATAAAGTAAAATAATTAACCAGTTTGGAATAAACAAGATCCTGCTGTGTGGCTTCTTTCCAGAGTCTACATTTATATTAGTAATTAATAATATTGTAAATGAAGAGTCTTGGTATAATACTAATAGCATTACCTTCTCAATACAGTGTACTACTTCTATTTCATTTCTTACTTAGATAAGCACACATGCCTTGCAAAAATATATATAATAAAGAAAATCAACTTCATATTACATATGTCTTTTCAAATAAATTGAAGGGTTAGTCTGTTTTAAAAAAAGGTACTGAAAACAGGAGTAAAGTTCATCAAAAAATTTAAACTATAATTACTATTTAGTCCAACACATCCATAATCTGGTATACATCTGAAATAATTAAAATCAGGATCTCAATCAGGTACTTGCACACCCATTTTATAGTAGCACTATTCACAGAAGCCAAAAAGTAGAAGCAACCCAAATGTCCACTGACAGATGAAGCAGTAAGAAAAATATGGTATTTACACACAGTGGGATTTCACTCAACCATAAAATAGAAGGAAATTCCATGATTTGACATGGAAGAGCTTGAAAACATCATGCTGAGTGAAATGGGCCACTCAAAGAAAGACAAATCTGCATGATTCTACTTACATGAGGTATCCACAGTGCTCAAATTCATAGAAACAGAGACTAGAATGATGGTTTCCAGGGATGGTATAGGATAAAATGGAGAATTTTACATAATGATATAGAGTCCTAGTTTTGCAAGATGAAAAAGTTCTGGACATTGGTTGCCCACCAATGTCATTGCACATACTACTGAACTGTATACTTAGGAATAGTTAGCATGGTAAGTATTATGTCATGTGTAGTTTACCAGAATTAAAAATAAAGGGTAACATTCTAAAAATTCCTGATTATACTTGATTTCTGCCTTTAGTTTTTTGTAGCAATCCTTTCAGTAGTGTTTGCTATGATGTTGCTTTTTTGTGATGGAACACATGTTTTCTACACAGGAAATGGAACAGTTTGTCCAGAGCTCTGGAGAAAATGGTATTGTGGTGTTTACTCTGGGGTCAATGGTCAGCAACATGTCAGAAGAGCAAGCCAATGTGATTGCATCAGCCCTTGCCCAGATTCCACAAAAGGTTAGATAAAGGATCTTAATAGTGTGCAACTACCTAATGAGTCTGTTCAACTCCTTAAAGGGCCTGCTTACAGAAATTTCCTGCATGACACCTAACCATTATGATAGCTCCAATATATCTTAGGTATGAGTTCGAACTGATATATTCATGGCAGGTGTTAAAGTAGTGCTGAGGGTGTTTTTGACAATAACTTTGACATTAACATTGTGTTCACTAAAATATATATATTTCAGAGTTGTGGTGAGAAGTTTTGCTACTATAATAGTATTGGAGGCAGGTACAGATACCACTGAATTCTATTCTATCGATTTTCTCTTTTCCCTGTAGGATTCCTGAGGGTTGCATACACACTACAGATGTACCCAGAAAGGTGTTAAATCTTAGCAGTGACATTAAGCACAAAATAATAAAGTCTGAAAGGCGTCATGCAGTTTAGGTTTGTCAGGTCATCCTGGCCTCTCATATTTCCCCTAAATTTTGGAATAGGCCCTTTCAGTGTGCTTTTCAGGGTCCTATTCAGGAAAGGATGGCCAGGGCTCCCCAAGCTGCATTAGGTAACCATCCAGCCACGATGATTTAGGAGAGGAAAACTGACATGTCCTGATGGACTGGGCCCTATACAGAGGGAAGGGAGAAGGTAAACGAGGAGGGAAGTAGGTCCACCCTCAAGGTGACCCCATGCTTAATAACATGTGGCCCTGGAAAGGACTCTGCTTTAACCTATCAGAATAACAACTCCTCTTGTTTGAAGAAGAAGAGAATATATGAAGGAGCCAACCAGAAGCAAGCCTAACATGGGAAAGTTTCAGATGTCCCCTCTCGTAAAATACAGTAGTATATGGTTTCTGATGTGTAGACTATACCTGCTCTATTGGGGTATTTGTGAACTACTTTGTATTTTCCTAACTGAAATAGCTTTTCCTTATCCCTTACACAATTTTTGGCTGAGAATATGGCAGATACGTATTACCACTGTAAATTATAATTTGGTTTATAAGCATCACTCGAGAACTCCAAAATCAGAATCTATTTTGGCACGGGGCATGGAAATTGCCTGGCTGTGGGTCCCATATTCATCAGTGTTGTCCATGCTCTGTACTACATCACTGAGGTGTGTACAGTCAGTTGAAAGAACTTTAGCATTATCACAACTTTCAATTTTTTTGCAACAGCTGTACTGTTATTTATGAAGTACTGACAGGCTCTTCTCTCTACATTTGAAAAATTTCCACACCTAGAAATAGTAATGATACACTGGATTCATGTGAATAATCACCTCTTAAAATTTTTCTTGCAAGTAGTACCTAACAATCATAATCTAGCAGCTAGATGCACTTACTAAAGAGAAATTATTTATATTAGTAAATTATTGATAAGCAGAGTTATTTATTTCTCATAAGCATTAGATGGCATAGATTAGACTTCCTGTAAATCAGAAAATGTAAAACTAATAAAACAACTTATGGATCAAGCAGATATCAGTAATTCTCTTCAATATGTAACACTTAAAAAATGGCTAGTGTTACACTGGAAGATAACAGCAATTAGAATAAAAAGATAAAACAAAATAAATGTGTATATCTTAGTAATTTCCTACTTTTCTGCACTAGAATTACAATGTCTGCCTAAAAACATCTTTAATACTTCATCATTGATAATCTCAGTTTCCTAACCTCTATGAGGGAAACATCATGATTGCATTCATAACCTGACTGAATATCAAATAAATATACAATATGTGGGTATTCCTATTATATCAGGGTTTTATATTCTCATTTTTAACATCTCTTCTCCTTATCACTTATGGGTCTCTGGAACGGGTTTAACTAAATTATCTCTTACTTTCTTTAGAATTCTCTCATGCTATAACTGCAGAGTTTGCCTCAGAATATAGTTATTTTCTTCACCCTAACAGGTTCTATGGAGATTTGATGGCAAAACACCAGATACCTTAGGGCAGAATACTCGGCTGTATAAGTGGATGCCCCAGAATGACCTACTCGGTAAGAATTGAAAAAAACACTGAAATGAAAGTAACTCCAGCTGGTGATAACAGTTCACCAGGGAACAAATTTACTGAGCATTAATTATTGAAAAACTCAAAAACAAAACTTAACTTCCTTATATTAATTTTGCGGTCCTGGGGGGAAAGGATAAGCTATAACAGCTGTCATTTTATTATCTAGTCTCATTAATTATACTGTCTCCTTATGGCCATAACCACACTGCCTTTAGTTCAGGCGTAATTATTTCTCGCGGAGAATTTTTCAATAGTTACTTGGATCTTTGCTCTGACTCCTAGTTCTCCCACTATGTGTCTATCTTTTCCCCTTCTATGTGGGAATTTAGGGCCATCTGTGATCTAGAACACACTGCCTCTTTCAGTGCCTTCTATTTTCCAAGTCTCATTTTATTTCTAAGATTCATAAATACTGATGTGCTGAAATTCACCTAATCCTAGGTCATCCAAAGACCAAAGCCTTCATAACTCATGGTGGAACCAACGGCATCTACGAGGCAATCTACCACGGGATCCCGATGGTGGGCATTCCTTTGTTTGCAGATCAACCTGATAACATCGCTCACTTGGAGGTCAAGGGAGCAGCTGTCAGACTGGATTTGGGGACACTGTCCAGTACAGATTTGCTCAATGCATTGAAGAGAGTCATTAATGACCCTCTGTGAGTATCCCAATTTATGAAGACCTAATTTGGAAGTGTACTGCTTCTTCTGAAACTTTATAACACTTTTTAAAAATCATTTATAGGATATTTTTCGTACACCTTTTATAGGAATGATATGCTTGGGCAAATTAACTTCATTTCCACGTTGCTATCTTTGTATTTCCCCTGCAGATATAAAGAGAATGCTATGAGATTATCAAGAATTCATCATGACCAGCCAATGAAACCTCTCGACCGAGCGGTCTTCTGGATCGAGTTTGTCATGCGCCACAAAGGAGCCAAGCACCTGCGGCCAGCCTCCCATGACCTCACCTGGTTCCAGTACCACTCCCTGGATGTGATTGGGTTCCTGCTGGCCTGTGTGGCCACTGCTCTATTTGTCATCACAAAATGTTGTCTGTTTTGTTGCCGGAAGTTTGCTAAAACTGGAATGAAAGATAAAAAGGAGTAGTTGTTTCAGAGGTCTGAAGCTGGGAGGACTCACAGATGGGCCCCCTCCAGTTTATTCCAGGGAGAAGCTTCCTCCTGTGAAAAAACGAATTTTCTCAACTTTGCTTTTCACATCAAATCTGTTTTCAGGGGATTTACTATACCTGTTTAAGAGTTAGAAATATATCATGCCAAGAGAAAAAAATTGCCATAAAATCGAATAAAACTCTTTTTCTAATTTAAATGCTATACCAACAAAATTGAGCTTAGGTGTGTTTCCAACTATGCACATGGACAGAAAAGCCTTAAATAGGCTACTCACAGTGTCTATTATTGTTCAAAGACTCAGAATATTTTAATTTCCTTTTGTTACAGAATTTTATAGTTTTATCTTTTGCTAAGGAAACTTCAATAATTGGAATTCAATAATTGATCAGTTTTACTGTGCATCTAGCCTCAGCATCACTTGTTAACTAGAAACGTGGCAAGCTGTATGCCTTCATCTAGTTTAAAGCACTTCCCAGTGGAAGGTTTCTGAAGTTAGAAGTAGAACAACCATTCCCTGCTTCCTATTATAAGATGAGCTATGTGAAAGTCTTTGATTTCATAATCTAAGTCTCCTTTCCCCATGATCTTTAAAAATATTCACTTGGTTGCTTTCACTCTCACATTCAGCCTTAGATAATGGATGAAAGGTCTCAAAAGTAGATTAATAAACCTGCACATTAAAGGGACTTTATGAATTTTCATTCTTCCCAAATGTACATGATCATATATACACCTGCTTCTTTTGAAACAAGATACATCATCACTTAGCTACTTATAGATATGGTGTAAAGTTCAGGTTGTTTGTTGAAGTTTGAAATAATGACTGTAATTCTATTTAACTGAACTCAGGGGAGCCTGTCTCATGCTTTTTTCTCCTCTCAGGAGCCCAAGGCCCCATTGCTCCCACAGCTCTTATATGTGAACATTAAGTCCTTTGTCACGACAGAATATAATCATTGTTTTATTTAAACCCAGGCACCTTATAACTGACATAATCAGTAAAAATAAGAAGAATACAAAAATCATGTTTAATTTTATGGAGTATTGTCAAATCAACGGAATCTAAAGACCCTCCTTAAAACCACACATGAGGGACTCACTTTATGATCAAAGTGTTCCAGGTCAGGAGAAGCATACCTCTCTGCTGGTCAAGAAGATAGAGTCCAAGTCTTACAACAAACATTCTCTAGCCTAAGGCATGAATTTATTATTTTTTACCTTAAAACTTGGATACTTAGGGAATCATAGGAGAAATTTACCACATAATTTTCTATACAAATTCTTGATAATTGACCATAGAACTAATAGAGTGCCATAATAGATAATATGGTTTAATCATGCATATACACTCAAATAATTTTCCTCAAATCGGTCATGCAGCACATGTAACAGGAGAGCAATTGTTATTCATTGTATAGTGAGAACTACTTCAAATCTGTGATGAAAAGTCAAACAACTAAGTATGAAAATACATGAAGGATATGAACAGGAAATTCACATAAGCAAAATAGCTAATAACATATATAAAAGATGACAAAGGTCACTGGTGCTTTGGAAAATCAAATATAAGTCAAAAAATAATTTTTCTACAGATGACTTGCCAAGCAAATATCTGGTACAATTCTTTTTGAGGAACAATAATATGGAAAAGCCCTTTTAAATAAAATTTAAACATACTGTTTGACATCGCAATACTACATACAGAAATCTATCACTTAGAAATACTTTCACATGTTCATAATTATATTCAGAATGTTCTTGCTAGCACTTACATGGCTACAAGGGAACACACTTATCTACAACACATGTATAAATTTTATAGTCTTTGGAAAAAAAAGATTACAGGCAATTGTTGCATAGTATCCATGTCATATTCTTAAGAACAAATTCCAGAAATTAAAAAATAATCATGGTACTTTTTTTTTGGAAATAAAGTAAATATGTATCTGTAAATTTGTATGACCATAGAAGAAAATATCTGGAAAAACCCATAGATTTTCCATTGATGAGATTTTAATGTCTTATTCCATGTAATTGATTATTTGAACTTTTGCAATAAGTTGTCATTTATTAATAATGTGGTTTTAAAAAATAACTAGTGAAATAAACATATGAATTCAAGATATCAAGTTCTAAGTAGTAGTTGTTCCAGCCCTCCAGAAGTTTGAGTTTTCTCCAGCCAATTACCAGATATCCAGTGATTACAGCCAAGTCACCATATGGCTGTAACCACCTGAGAAACCATGTATAAGAAGCACCTAGCTGCACCCAGCCAACACCCAAATCTCTGAGAGAGGAAAATCAAGTGAGTATCGTCATTCTAAGTCCCTACATTCAAGGGCAGTTTTATGCAGTAACAAATAGGGATAAAATATTTCTACATACTTTTAATTACATCTTTGTAATAATATTTCAATATAGATATAGGTACATAAATGGGAATGTAAATGCTACATTTTGTAAATAACTGTAACCCAGGAAAGGGAGTCACCATAGCATCATGGTTAAGAGCTTGAAGTCTGGACCTAGAAAGCATGGGTGCAAGTCCCTGAACCCCACTATAGAGTTATGGGCCTTAGGCTAGTCAGCTCACTGCCCTGTGCCCCAGCTTCCCCACCAGTGAAACAAAAATAAACTTACGGTACTTTGCCCCTCATGGGGCTGCTATGAAGATAAGTGTGTTAACATTGTAAAGCACTAAAAAGAGTTGCTATAAAACTAATATGTAATTTGCATTAACTATTATCATTTAAATGAATAGAAAAATTTCCACAATGACGTTAGTCTTCACATAAGTTAATATATTTTAAATGCAATATGTTTCAAATGTAAATGATAATAATAACATAATTTCCTCTTAAATATTCAGAAATTAAATATGTACAAAATAAATGTGTGGTACAAACAAAGGGCTAACAAACTTAGGCCACTTCTGGAGAGACATTTGTGTTTTTATCATTGGGGTAAAAGTCATATAACATAAAATTCACCTTTTGAAGGATTCTAAAGTGTACAATTCAGTAGTATTTCATACATTCACAATGATGTACAACGGTGACACCTATCTAGGCCCAGAGCATTTTCATCACCCAGAAAACAAACTATATACCCAATAAACGTTATTTCCTCTTCATCCATCCCCTTGGCTCTAGCAAATTGACATTGTGCTTGCATCATTCTATAGACAATTAGTCAATAATAATAATAAATAAGACATACAAGACTATACCTCAAACCAGGGGTTCTTTCCATACTTTTCACATGTCTTCTTAGTTATTAAATAGAAATTCTCTGATGTGTAAAGTATGGACAACTCCAGGATTGCCCTTTAACAGAATGTATAAAAACAGCCAGCATAATGTAGAGAGAATTTCAAAGAACACCTGAACCCCCCACTTCCTAAATGATAGCATTACACTCTCCATGGATCAGCTCCCATGTAAAGCAAGCATAAGTAATGAAAATTATTTATAAGGCAACCATTTAAATTATCTAGGAAATGTCCTGAAGATACATGGCAAATAAAGACTCACTTAAGCAAGCAAATGTAATAAAATCAGTGTGGCATTGAAACCAAGGCCTGCTTTGTCCCCACCCTCCTTACTCAGAGAGAGAGGGACTCCATTGCAAGTATGTTCTGAAAGAACACGGAGCTTCCACTCCCCACAGCTCCCACTTGAGTGTTACGGTATCTTCTTAAAAGGGTCAGGACACGCAAATTTCTCACACACACACACACACACACACACACACACACACACACACATGCATGCACATACCCCGCCCCAGCTATGTGTTACAGAGGCTAAACTCCAGACAAGTGTGGCCAAGAAGGTTCTCTCTCCTTCTGCCCAGCCCCACTCACAGGGCAGAGTTTTATTAAGGTGCAGCACACTAAGAATACCGAATCCAAAGGGTAAGTGCCCAGCTCGTTCATATGGGCTGCAGTGATGGAGGCAGCAAACTAAAAATGGCCGCTACTACCTTACTGCTAAAGCAGGGGTGTCACTCAGAAGGAACTGTAGCACTGTCACTACCCCCAGGCCTGGGAGCAAATGTCCAGACATAAGGAGACTCAGGACATAGACCAGAGAGCTCCAAAGCTATCCCCAAAGGAACTCACTTCATCTGAAACAGACTGGGGGAAATTCAAACTTTACATGTGGTATCTAGACTAATCAAATTCATAGAAACAGAAAATAGAAAGATGATTGCCAAAGGCTGGAGAACAGTTTTTTAACTTCCAGTTTTACAAGATGAAAAATTTCTGGAGATTTGTTGTGCAATATTTAGGAATAATTAAGATGGTAAATTTTATGTTGTTTTATTTTACAACATTTTATTAAAAAGCAGGTAGTACTCTAATAATTCCTGATTACACTGGATTTCTCTCTCTAGCTGTTTCTAGCATTCCTTCCAATAGTGTTTGCTATGCTGTTGCTCTTCTGTGATGTTTTCTCCACAGGAAATGGAACCGTTTGTCCAGAGCTCTGGAGAAAATGCTACTGTGGTGTTTACTGCAGGGTCCATGGTCAGTAACATGTCAGAAGAGTGAGCCAATGTGATTGTGTCAGCCCTTGTCCAGATTCTACAAAAGGTTAGATATAGGACCTTAATAGTGTGCATCTACCTAATGAGTCTGTTCAAGTCTGTAAAGGACCTGCTTACAGAAATTTCTTGCATGCCACCAAACCATTATAGTAGCTCCAATTTATCTAGGTATGAGTTCAAACTGATATATTCATGGCAGGTGCTAAAGTAGTGCCGAGGGTGTTTTTGACAATAACTTTGGCATTAACATTGTGATCACCAAAAATACATATTTCAGAGCTGCCATGTGAAGTTTTGCTACTGTTACGGTATTGTAGGCAGGTACGGATACCACCGAATTCTATCCTATCACTCACTTTATACACCTGCAGGATTGTTGACGATTGTGTGCACACTACAGATGTTCTCAGAAAGCTGTTAAACTGTAACAGTAATTGTACTAGCAGAGTAATGTGAAGCAAAATTGAAAGTCTGAATGTGTCCTGCAGTTTGAAAGTGGTGTACAATCACGGCCTCTCTTATTTCCCCTAAATTTGGTATAGGCCTAGTCAGTGTGCTTTTCAGGGTGCTACTCAGAGAAAGGATGGCCAGAGCTCACCAAGCTGCATCCAGGTACCCAAGATAGCCATGGTGATTTAGAGAAGGAAATATCAGCCTGCCCTGGTGACTGAGCCCTGCCAACGTAATTCAATCAGGTAAAAAAGAGGGTGGAGATGGGCCCCACCATTCAGGTGAACCCTGTGCATGACAGAATCTGGCCACAAATGGACTCTGCTTCTAACCTGTCAGATTAACCTCTCCTCCTGAGTGAGGAGGGAGAAGGGAATGTAAGGAGTCAAGCAGGAGGAGGCCTGGCATGGAAGAGTTTCAGATGCTTCCTTCCCCATAAAATGTAGTAGTAATATTTTTCTGATATATAAAACACACCAGTTGTCTTTGAGTATTTGTAAACTACTTTTTAATTTCCTATGTAATACAGTTTTCTAATCACCTATGCTAATTTTTGCTGAGTACCTAAAGTTACATAACAAAGAAAAGTTAATTGAAATAAATTATAATCTGGCTTATGAGGATTGATTGAAAATTCCAAAATTGGTAATTTTTTTGCTACTAGTTCTATCAGCCATATTCATCAATGCTTCAATGCTCTGTGCTTCATTCTGAATGCTAAAGGTCCATTGAATAAATTTCAGCATTACAATTTTGGAATATTTTCAACATCCATATCATTATTTCTAAATTACCAATAGGTTATTATTTACTAAAATCAAATAATTTTCAAACCTAGCAATAATAATACACTAGGTACATGTTAAAAATTATGAATTAAAATTTTTCTTGAAAGTAGTGCTTAACAATTTGTATTTTTAAAAATGTCATATTTACTATTTAATCAAAATTTATTATTAACACATATAACGCTGGTGGGGGGAAATAAGTTCCCATCCTGGGGCAAATTACCTTTGAAACTGAAATCAGTCAAAGGGAGAAATAAAGTGGAAGAAAACCATATATTATTGCTTGTAAGCAGTCGCCCACTTTTGCTTGTCCATGTCTCTCATGACTGGCTGCAAAAAGGTACCCCACCCAACCTCTCTGGTCCAGATATGCCCTCACTCCCTCTTGTGATAACCTACTGATATGGAAATGGCTACTTCTCCCCACCCCTTAGAAACACCTATTGATGTGGAGATCCGCTAAGGCCAGGCAAGAGATTCTGGGAATGCTGCAATTTTACCTACAACCCACCCTTCTGGAAATTTTGCCTCACAATTCACTCACTGCCCAGCTTCTACAATGGCCCCTGTGCAAGAAAACTGGAGCACTGTAACCAGACTAGTAACATACAAAGATAACAGCAATAATATCATGATAATCCTCAAGCCAGAGTATTCAGCTTGGTTAAAAGTCTTATGCAGACTAAGTGCATAGCTTGCACATTCCACAGGCACCAGTAGCTGAACAGGTACGGAGTTCAGAGCAATCAACACGTGGCAGCTAAAGCAAGGGGGTGGATCCAGGCTACTGGGACTGCAGAAGAAAATAAACGTAAGGGTGATAAGATACATGTTTTAAGACACCAGCTTAAGCAAGTCTTGTCCCTCAGGTAGAATGCACGCAAGAGAGTGGTCCTGTGATAGAACTGTGGCAGGAATGGGATCTTATCCTGGTCTAGTGTAACAGACTTTCACCCCCCTTCTTGTGTGAGTTACAGATGGGTCAATATATAGGGCAATGGGAAGTATATGCATTGACCATATAGATAAACCAAAACTTCCCCACAAGATGGTCTTACCTTCCAGACGTTTTGGCTATAAGACCATAATCTTTGGGGGCCAGTCTTCTGTTACTCCAGGAACACACAGAAGGACAGCCTCCAGGCCTTTTCTCCAAGGTGCCAGAAGGGTTAGCCAGCACTGGTACATGTGTCAAAATGTCCAGGCCCATGTCCACTAAACAGAGTCTCTAGGGTTTAACACAGTTGGGGTTGACAGCAGGATGTTGCTCTCCTGGCCACATCCTGGCTTCAGTAACTCCTCTTTGGTTTGCAATTTCCGTTGTATGGGTCAGGCA